AAAAGTTGCACTTCTTACCAATTGAGAACTATAGGCTTTTGAGATCCAGGTCTTCTTACATTTTCTCATTTCTCTCTGTTGCAGCACAGGTCTTGTGTCCATAAAAAATTGTGCAGATTATGATAGCTGCCCTAGGAAAAATTGTTTGTGGTGACTGAAAACTGGGGCTCTTAAAAAGTCAATCTCAATCTGGTTGATAAAGGACACTCACTGTAGCAGCATTGCTGCATAGAATGGCCTATATGTGTTTTCCCCCAAGTTTTCTTTTGAGAAGAACCTGACTTAAATGATTACTATTTATGTAGTTGGCTCAATTTATTGAAATACTTAGGGGTCAGAGGAACAACTCTGAGACATCAAATATTACTAGAGATGATCTGTCTCCAGTCAGCTTGTTGTGCTTCTATGTCTCTGTAGCAATTTGGACTCAGACTCTCTAATACATAATCAGTATATGGAAATAAATCTTCTATATTTAAATTATATAACATCAATATTTTATGTTTGAAAATGCCACAGTAAATGATTGAATCATTCACAATGCCCACTGTTTTAATGATATTTTTAAAGCACTTGTATAGAGTTGATTTATATGTCAGCAGCCAAAGAAGGTGATATTCTGTGTCCAGATTGATCTGTCACACTGCATTGCTCTGGCTCACCATGTCATCTTGTCTGTTAGCATCTACAGATGAAAATGGATTATACTCTTTGGAGTGGGCCACAACATTAATGATAAACAAAGATTAATTTTGATTCAGTTTAAGATTCATTGTGTCTGGATGCAGGGGTAATGCTCTTACATCCATGATTTTTGATCCACTGTAGCTATAAGCTCCTGCTGCTTCCTGAATCAATTCCACTCACTCCCTCTGCCTTTGAAAACATGTTTGCTGGCTATTTTTGCACATTTGTATGCAGACATATTTGCCCTTTGTTGTGTTCTGCTCAGTTGATTGCTACATTTCTTTTTGGTTCTAGCTCTACCAGAAGCTATTCTCATGTAGTTAAAAATGTAGGAAATTAAGTCACTGATGGGAGCTGTTACAAAAGGACTTTCAGTCAATGCAGTCAATATTGGTATTATCATAACACTGCTTACTCAAACAGCTAAAAATTATGTACCAGCCTGGTGAAAGTGACACAAGTAACATCCCTCAAGACCTTTTCCATTTATGTTTCTTTCATTGTGCTGCCTAAGCATTCCTAGGCAGTGATTCCTTAACAGTGTGAGATAGGTTATTTAGTAAGTAGCCAAGTGTAATGTGTGGTTTTGCTGTGACACAGGTCTGCTTTTCTGTATGTGAGCAGGAGGGGAGAATTTATTTCCCTCTGTGTAGTTCTCTGTTGTGGTGGCCCTCAGTTTCTGAATAACTTCTCTAAATTCACTGATTTACTAAATGTGGGTTGTTCTTAATTTAAGATAATACAGCCTTTGGGACACAGAAGCGTCACAGTAGTTGTATTTTATTTCTGCATCTGCTGGTCACATTGTTTTTCATTAGAAAAATACTTGTAATAAGGTTCTGTATCCATCATGAGAAAATAAATGGAAATCAGTGATGAAGTTTCTATACACAGTCACATAATGACTTTTGAAATACAGCATTGAGTGGGCAGTCTTGTATGGAAATAGAATTCAGATATTCCACATTCTTTTTTATAAGTTTGTTGATGAACTCCAACTGAACTGCCTGTAAAATGATGTTGCCTCCCTGAGGTATGCTGAGACTAACACAGCCCCATGCTATGAAGAAGCTACTGTGAAGAAAATCAACTCTATCTCAGCCAAAACCAGCCCAGTTGTTTAAATTGGTTGCTTGCTAATTTATTTATTCTCCTTTACTTCTCGTCCCATTCTATTAGTACCTTTTACAAAATTCAGCTGTCAGGGGAAAAAAAAAGATTCCAGCAGTAAAAGCCTGATTGACCATGGGAGTGTATTACCCTGGAGAAGTCTGAAGGAAGACATCAGCTTTAGTATACAAGATCATGAAAAGCAGAACCCTGGCAGTGCAGAATAAAGTGTATTTTAATAAAGATATTATAGTTTTAAGACTTGTATGTGTAAGTGCTGGAAGTACCTGGTGAAGTGAGCACAAAAGATTTTTTAAATGGTGTGAAGGGCCTTCCTAGGGGGGACTTAGCTATGTAAGAGTTCAGCTAAATGATAACAAAATAAAATTAGAAAATCCAGAAATGAAAGAGGAATGCATTTAGACCTGTGACTGGTTTGTTCTTTACACAGGATGTATTAAACTAATGAGTATTTGTCCTTTGTGTTAGATCTAGAAGGTCAAACATGCAGTGGTATGCTAACCACTTGGGAAGTTACAAATAAACAAAAAAGCACATGAACACCAGTAAAGAAATTACTGGGATTTGCATCATTAACTAATTTTTCTTTCAAAATCTTATCTCAGTACTGGATCATTTAGAAACGATCTTCAAAGAAGCAAGAACATATTTGCACCTCTTTCTTTATAATGAATAAAAAGAAAATACAGTTTTAGTCTCTTAAATATACATCAGAAATAAGGCTGTACAAAACTTGGAGGCTATCTAGAAACAAATCCAATTATGGCTAGAGCATTTGAGAAAGTGAAATCTGATTTAATTACTTCTTTCAACAGAAAATTACATCTTTCAACTTTCTATTATTAGAACCCGCCATTTATTTTTATCACTCCAAAAAAAGAACAAGCTTGGAAGAGAAGCTCCCTTCATGGAATTCACACTCAAATCTTTGGTACTTAATACTCAAGCCAAAAATTTGAATCCTTGAACAAAATTCTGATTGTCAAGAAAACAAGCCAGAAAAAATGCAATGAGATAGATGGTATTTGTATTTTTAGATATGGGATTTGAAAATACTAATTTAAGCATTAGAAAGACCAAAATGGACATGATTGTTATTTCATTAGCTTTAGAAAAAAGGCAGAGTTATTGCTGAACATGCATCAAAATAACAGCAGGCTTTACTTAATGCAGTGAAAATACGCTGTTATGACATTAAAGAAGTTGGAAGCGATGAAGTCACATTTCCATTTCATTAAAGAGCTCTGGAGCTGTGTTAGGAGTGAAGGAGCTTTTATACACAGCTTTGCATTTTCAGGACAACTGAACACAGGCCCGTTGCTCTTGCTGCTGCAGAGATGAGATCTGCTTAGTGCTCAGAGAAAGGGCTGAAGGACAGACAGGGGGTGAGAAATAGGGTTTTGCCCTGTGCAAATAAGATTCAGATGTTTGCTCAGATCCCATTTGCCTCCCTGGAGCAGCAGTGCTTCGTGTGCATACATTTGGCTTAGTTCCTGAATGTAAAATTGAGTTGGATAACCACTCACCCTATGGGTGCATTTCTCAGGAAATTAAACTGGAATCTTAAAAACTTCATACATCTATATTAAAACCTGAGAGTGGCAGATAGTCATTACACAGAGGAAACTTGAAAATGTTTTCAGATTTAGTTGTGTATCACTCTATTGGAATAAATTAATTTCTTTCTGGATGGACTTGTAAGAGAGGCCAGGGAAGGGTGAGAGGAAATTTACTTTATATTAAACTGAGAAAGCTTTTAAAAAATTTTGACATAAAACTCAACCAAAGATCTCTGTAGATAAGCAAAAGAAATAAAGTTCTACTCTCACCTTAAAAACCTTAAATACATACTGCTTGTCCAAGGGAGTATCACCCAATTAATCCCACTGTTTTTGATGGGAAGTATGAAATACTGTGAAGATATTTGTGAAGACTACTAGCCTTAGTTGGGTAAAGTGCCCTTTTTCTAGTGTTAGAACAATTTAAAATGTTATTTAAAATCTATTATATCTTCATCAGACCTGGCTTATTTTGGCCAATGATTTTTAAAATATTTTAGTTTTAACAAGAAACATGGATGGCTGGAAGGTCTGAGCAAAGGGACAATTAACAGTGAGGAAGGGAAGTAAAACTGAAATGGTGGAAAGGATGAAAGAGAGAATATTTGTGTGAAATAATGGCTTGTGAATTATTCAGCAGAGGATCTTGTCTCCAGATAGGATCAAACACACATTTCTATTGACAAGAATAATGTAGGTAACCTTTGAGAAATGAGACCTCAATATGTATATTGTGGTTGTACCCTATAATCTAAGTATTCTTGGATTACATTGAATATTTTTGTTTTATTTATCAGTCTGCCTCTTGAAGATTTATCTAAATTAAATTTATTTTATGCAAAATGATTTTTTTTTAATTGGGACTTGCTGCTGCTTACTACCTAAATCCAAAAATATGGCATAGACAACACCAGAAACTCTTCTGCTTTTGAGGGAAGGGTTTCATCATGACAGGCTGCTAGAGAATTGTGTTAGATACTCAGAAATGTGAATTCTGTTACTGACTTGGTGAGCACACCAGCCCAGTATAAAATTAGTTTCTAACCATGTATTTTGAATTTGAATCAATAATGCTGAAGGCTTTTTCTGCTTGAAATACTTCTGTGTTTATAATCTAGGTAATGATCACATTAGAAGAACAGTTAATTATTAATTATTTTGAAAGTATTAGGACGACAACTTTGTGAAATTTATGTATTTTTCAAAAGTATTGGGGTTTTTTTGGTGGTGATTTGAAGTAGGTGCAAAAATTATAGATGGAGTAACATTAGCTTAAGGATGTCAACTCCCTTAGTAGTCCAGTGGAAATAACAGAGTCACTCATGGCTTTTTGAAGTTATTCTCTGTATGACTCACCCATCTTTCAATGCATAGAAAAAGCTATTTCAGCCAAATGATGAAGATAATATGATTAGTGTTTGAACCATAAAAGGCCTTTTAATATTAAAATTTTGTTGGGCTGCACAAGGTAAATCTAGTATTATTTAAATTGTAAAGCAAAGCAGGAGGTATGCTACATAGAATTATTATTTTTATGGTTATTTTTATGATTAATCATTAGCATCATTGTGGTTATGACTGTTTTTACCAGTAATTTTATAACTGTGTCCTTTGCCTGTGTAGGGAGTTGGTGTCTCAGTTCATGGACATTTTCGAGTTGCTACAGAAAAGACTGTTTTTGCCATGCCAGAAACAGCAATAGGTAAGTGTTTTGAGAAATTATCACATGTTAACATTGGTAGAGCTTCACTGTTTGGGTAATCATGGTGAATTGTCTTTGACTGAATGCTTTGGTGGTAGGGAAAGAATTTTAAAAGGGAATTGGAGATGACGATACATGTGGAAAGTATTTTCTGCTAAATTACCAGAAACTTCTCTGTGTTCTGGGAGTTGATCATGGAGCCTCTTAACTGTGTAGACTGACACAAAGGCTGGCAGGATAAAACTATTTTTTAAAAAGAACTAAAGTCTTGCTACAGATGGGGGCAGATAAGTCTGAAGCTCCCAGTGCAGGTACACCAGCTTTACCTTGGCAACTCAGTCAAACTGGGTGTGCCACAAGCTGCTCTGCAATTTCATAGAGACAGATTTTGGAATTCCAGCTTTTCTTGTAGATCATTAATGTAGACCCATTACAACTGTGCACAGATTGTGCCTAGGCAAGATCACAGTGTCTTCAGTGTCACCTTTTTTTTTGTTTTAAACAGCAACATGTACCTTGTGTTTTCTAATTTTTGATCCTACAGTTTCTTTGTCAATTCTGACAAAATTTCTTCCAAAAACAAATGTATCCCAGAGCTACATAAAGATACAGGTATGGCTCAAGAAAAATGAGTCAGATTAAAGGAAACTCTCCTCATGCAGCTGTCAAACACAATAAAGCATAATAAACCACCCAAATGCAAGCAAGCTCGTTACCATTTTAATTCCTGAGAGAGACATGAGAGCAATTCCTGCTAGCTGATAAATGTAGTGTAATTTTTCTGACCAGGTGAAGTTGGGATGAAAAAACAAAAAACTACTTCAGCTCTCCAAGTATTGTTTTATTGCTGAAGAAAAGCTTAGTAAACTAAACTTAAGCTTTAATACAACATGAGTTTTCTGAGCTCTGAAGTTAATAATCAGTTGTTGTATATGAAAACCTTTGATGTTAACAATTTGTATTTTTTTTACCTAAACGGAGGTTCGTAGGTGTATGAAATTATTCTAGTAATAAAAGCACCTTCCCTTTCTTCTTCAAAGGGAAAGATATGAGTAGTTTTATATTAACAAGAACTATGTACTTTACACAGATTTATTGTGTTGACAAGGACTTATTTAAACAAAAATAGGCTGTGAAGACGTGAAGGAAAAGCTTAGAACTTGCTTAGGAAAGAAAGTAATTAAACCCCTTTTAGGATCACTTAAAAGTAAAACCACTGAAATCTGTTTGGATTTAAAGGCTTAGCTGTTTTGATCTCTGTGGGGTGTGTTTAAAATATCTGGCTCTCTAGATACTGTATTAATTGTTTTTTTCATGTGTTCATTTATTTCAGTAGGCATGACACCTTTGCTGTGAAATGAAAACAAAGCATTCATTCAGCTGCTCTGTTTTCACACAATTATTCTGCATTTGTACAGCACCACAAATAAAAGGATGTAGATAAATATGCCCCTTAGCAAATAGAAAGAAAAGGCTGTTCTACACTGTAGGAGTTTGCCATAGATAAGATAAAGCCCTGGAAAGCAGCACAGAAGTAGGAAGGTGTAGAAAACCACTGGTGGGGAGAACAAAGGATGGAAGTATAAGGTATGGGCTTTGGGGTGAGGTTACATTTATAATGGATGCTTCCTTGCATATCCCTGCTAAGTTTTTAGCATTCTAGAAGTCAGTACTAATAAATTCCCAACCCTCTCTGCCAGACAAGATAAGAATGTAGCAGCACTGCCCTTCTCCTGCCTGGCAAATGCAGAGTTGCACCTTTGGGACTACAGCAGAGCCTGTTCCATCTGTGTGAGAGCACAGACTGCAAGTCAGCAGTCTGTGCTCATGGCCTGGGCAGCCCAGCAGCTCTTCTCTAACTTCACTAATTGAAAAATGATTGCTAAATGCTAACCAAAAAACCCAAAAATCAGGTATGGAATACATTAAGAGAACCTCAGCAGCAAGGAGAAACATGTGAAGTTTTACTGAGAGAAGAGCAATATGTAGAACATGGACAACAGGAGTAAAATTATAAGAGGAAAAGGAAGACAGGAACATTGAAAAGGATACAGTAGAAGCTATAGCAGACTATGCAACCAAGGAAGTTTAAAGTGGATTAGGTAGACCTTCAATAATCCTGTTTGTAAATTCCTTAATTAAAGAAACCTTCATTCAATTTAGGTTTATTCGCCTTTAAAGCTACTTAAGGCTAATCAACTTCACAGTTTATTTAGAACTGAGTTCCTGTGTATGGCCAAGTGGAAGGACACTATGGATCCCAATAGAAAGATGGTTTTCCTCTGGAAATGTGCTGGAGTGTGGAGGAGCAGTAGTCCAGCATCAGTATTATTTTAAGTACAGCAAAAAGGAAAAAATATTGTTGCTGTTGTTGTTCTGGTGGATGGAGAGAATAATGTAATTGCCTTTTTGCTTTAGAGAGCATTTTTAAGATAGGTTTTCCTTTTAAATGAGGTTGGGTTTGGTTTTTTTTATTGCAGTAGAAGGATATCCAAGGGGAGACAGATGAATAGAAACATAAAACTAAATAGAAGTCTTGGCATCACTGTTGTGATAGCTCAAGCTGAGAAGGTAAAATGTAGAATAGACTATTTGAGAATGTGAGTACAGATAAAAAAAAGGTAAGTGATGAATTGGAGTTAATACAGCTTAGGGCTTTTAAAGGGTATCAGCAAGGCATTCAGCATTTCAGAAGAGCTGTATGTCTCAGCAGCCTGGGAGATGAGGGATAAATCAGTTAATGACAGCACACACATCAGTGGGAATAGAACACTACAGCTGTAACTGATAGGCAGTGACTCCTAAACCCAACCTTTTGATGTAGTAGAAGCAGCAGAACAAAAAGAAGACCAGGAGGGAACCAGAGGAAAAAAGCTGAGACGGGTTAGATATTCAGATTGTTAACAGGGAAACACTGAAGAGCAGCTGTCTGAAAGAAACCTCCCCTTGTTGCCTCCAAGAGGGAGAACTGTTCAGGGACCACTAATTCCCCATGGCTCAAAACGCTTGGAACAGGGTCTTTCTGTAATACATACATGGACTGTTGTGAACAAAAGCAATTACATGTGAGTGAAAAATTCCCATCTTCTATCAGAACCCCATTTAAACTCCTTAGGTACATCTGAATTTTCCCAGTTAATACCTCTTCTTTGGCAACAACCTTACAAGTTTCTTACTGCTCATTTGTATTCTGTTTTACGTGTTTTCATGATTCATTTGATTCATTCTCTGAAAGTGAAAAAAAATCCACCACACCTTTAATTTCTTCAGAAGACTTCAGTTTCATGAATGCACCATTGGCATGATTTCAAGATAGTAACTAGACCTTGCTTCTATGCATTCAGATTTCTGAAACCAAGACCAAATACTGAAACCAATCTCAATGCTGAAATCAATAGCTAAACTAAACTTTTTTCAAGGTTAAGTACGTTTAAAAATATGTCTAAACTAATTTTTGTGAGCAATTTATATAGCAGAAGGTAGATACTTTCCAATACAACTTTAAAAAGTATTTAAAATTCTAGTCACAGCTTTAAATTCTTAAAAAATGTACCCTAATCTGTAGATTTTAAAAAAGTATATAAGAGTGTTACTAAACTGGAGAGTTTAATATTATTTTTTAAAATTAGCTTAGTCACAATCCTGTCAAAGAGCCCAGTACTAAGTCAGCATCTTGTGCCTCCACCTTCAGGAAGACCCTATCAATATTGTTGATCTATTTTTGAATTCTTAGCCCCAAAATTTGTTCAAACTAAGCTATGCAAGAGGCACTTCATCAGTGTTTAATATTTTGATCATAATCAAATATTTCATTGAAAAAGCAGCATCCAGTTTGAGCTTGCACAAATCATTTCACAATTCTTTGGGTCACTTCTGTTTCCTTGCTGAGAGCACACTTGATTTTTCAAGTACCTAAAATTGTCTCAAGTTGTTGGCAAATAGAATAAATATTCTTCTTTGGTATATGTTTGTGAAGTATGTGCCAGTGGAAAAGATGAAGTTTGGAAAGTGTTCAAGAGTTTGCTTTTAGGAAGGATTTTGATGCCAGAAATGTCAAGCCAAGTCAAGGAGAAACTTGGACAAGGTTGCTGTGCCTATGCAAGGAAGATGAAAATGAGACAAGAAAAAACTGCTGCTAGTGATGATTAGTACACGATCTCCCTTCACTTTTGTTTTGTGTTGTTTATTTCAGGCCTTTTCCCTGATGTAGGTGGAGGATATTTCCTGCCAAGGCTCTCAGGAAAGATTGGCTATTACCTCGCACTGACAGGCTGCAGGCTGAAAGGAAGAGATGTGCTAAAGGCTGGCATTGCTACACATTTTGTAGAATCTGAAAAGGTGAGGTGCCAGCAGTGCTGGCCAGGGCACAGCCCACAGCCACACGAGAGCTTTGGGGTTTTTGCACCCCAGACCTTGGTACCAGCACTCCTGTCTGCAGAGGTGCACTCCCAGTAGCTGCCTGTGCCCTGCAAACAGGCATGGTGGGACACTCTCAAGCTGTCCTTCTAACACTTGCCAGCTGGTGACAGCTTTGCTTGAGGGAAGGAGCAAATGGTGCTGTTTTTAAAATTCCACTCTTGGAAGGGCATGAGCTACTCAGCAGAATGGAGCTGCTTAAAAATGGTGCAGTTTAAACAACAGTGTATGAAACTAGAGGTTTGTACAACTGCAAAGTTTGCAGTGAAGGTGACACTCTATTAAAATGGAGTTCTTTGCTGGTCACTGCAGACATAATTAAATTAGGGTAGTTCAACACTGACACATGAACTCTGTGTCCTTGTGTTGTTTGCTTTGTGCTTCTTTAGGGTCTGTCAGAAAGTTGGGGAGGATGAGGGAGAGTTTATATATGTATATCCTACTATTGCCAGAGTAATAACCCAAGCAGTGGGTTTTGTTTTACTTACTTGTAATTAAATCTTATTTTTAACAGCTACCTGCCTTGGAGAAAGACCTGATAGCACTGAAATCTCCTTCAAAAGAAAAAATTGCAGATTTATTGAACTCTTACCACATGAAGGTAATCTGAAATTACTGAAATCAAGCAAAAATTGTTAAATATATGTAGACATTATTTTTTAATCCATGTTACTGATAGTCTTTTTCTATGTTAGAAAATAATGAGTTTCCAAACTAATGAGTTTGCAAACTTGTTCCACTCTCTCCATAATACTTGTGTTAGCCCCATGTAACAATGGGCATGAAAATAAAAGGTTTTGCCTTCACAATCAGTGGCTATTTTAACTCTTTTGATGTGCATTGCAGTTCTCTTTCAAAAGAAACCTCTAGAGTCAAACCAGTATTCAGTGTTACTCAGTCAATTACTCTGCTGTTGTTCAGCTTTAAAATGAGCTGTGTCTACTCTTGTTATTTCTGTTTTATAATTACTAAGTTCATAAATAAGATTAATTGGAAAAATAAATGGGATAAGCTAATTTACATCCTAGTACTGATTATTTTGACAAAATAGAATGCTGTGAAATAGGAGTGATTATATGTTGCAGTATCCTGCTTTGCAAGACTACACTGAATGGCAAAGGAAACTGTATTTTTAGTTATCAGAGCTGAAATGCCAGGGAACCTTTTCAGCTTCAGCTGCTGTTCCTGAACATCTGCTTATGTCCCAAACCCCTTAATGCCAGAAGATGTGAAACATTTGACAGCTTCCCATAGAAAGCCAATGGATCTATCACACACTTTGTACATCTAAATAAAATTTGGTTAAATGACACAGAAAAGAGAAGGAAGGGAAATGCCTTTTTTTCCCTTGGTCATTAAAAAAGCCTAAACATAGGCCTGTATATTTTTAAAGAAAATGAAAGGTTGTTTTTAAAAACAATCTCTGATTCTTGAGTAGATTTATCTGCACTGAATTTCTTCTGTGCATTGCACAGAAGTGTTTTGATAGAATAATCAGAATTACTTGTGTACAAGGTAACCACCCAGGCAAATGTGCATCCACTGTAGCTCAGACAAAGCACTGCAGTATGAGGCAACATCTTCAACATTCACAGGATAAAGCCAAGTTCATATATACACACTGCAAAGTTTTAATTCATTAAGAATTGCACTGTCTTATGAACATTAGGTGTTCATTTATGATACAATATTTGTGGAACAAAAGTCACTGAAATTTTTTGTACTGATACACTTTTCAGTCTAAAATAACCAAGTAAAATACATATTTGCTTTTTAAATAGTGCACAATTGATCAAGAAAAGGAGTTTTCACTTGATGAACATATGGAGAAGATTAACAGGTATTCAGTAATTTTTCAATTTTTTTTATCCTTGTGTGTAGAGAACATGAAGTTAAATCTAGTTACATTATTTCACAGATAAGGTGAGAGAAATCACCTTCAAGTTTAAATAGCATTTTGTCTTTAGGGAGCTTTATCTGAAGCTAATTAAACATTTCACCCATCAGTACATTAAATACTTGGGCAAAGTAACCTGATTCATAGCCACTGGCACATTGAAATGAACATTTTCTGTAGATATTGGATGGGAATTTGTGAGACTAACTGTTCCATTGCACAGGAAATGTAACCTAACACATTTACAGTACTCATTGGGTAAAGGCCAATGGTAGCTTGGAACTTAAGGAAAGGAGAAATAAATGAGAGTGATAAGAAAGAGCTAAATCTCTGCAAGAAGGATGGCAGTAACTACATTTAGAGATAAAAGATGCTGACAGCAAACCAGCAGAATGGAGCTGATAGCTAAAGACTTACTATGTTATAAAAGCACAGCTAAGACTGATGGTAGTAATTGAAGTTTATAAATAAATACCAGAGTTTCTTAGTAAGTTTTATTGAAATACTAGAGATTTGTAAAGGAAAAGGAGACGCCTGAATTACTTGAAACTGGACAACATGGAAGACATTGCTAAGAAAAGCCATATCAGCTGATTATGCTCTGTTTCTAACATCCCTTCAAAGGTAACACAGAAACTGAAGCAGCTTGTTAACTGACTTTTCTTCTAGTCTTTTTTCAGCAAATAGTATGGAAGAAATTGTTAAAAAGTTAAAGCAAGATGGTTCTCCTTTTGCCATGAAGCAGCTAGAGGTAAAGTCTATGTCATTTTTGTTAGAGATTTTAAGTCTGGTTTTATGGTTTTATCCTTTTTTTCTTATCATAGGGCAGATTTTAGTTCCCCTGTAGGGCTTTGGACTGAGAGCCTCAAGTTCTCACTCACAGTCCTGAGGGATTCTCAGTAGTTCTGCTCAGACAAGGGTATTCCTCTAAAATCACACAATGTGAGCACCATCATGTGGTGCATAAAATTGTAATTTAGTAAAAAAAACCCAAACTCTCCTTTCTTTTCCCCTCCCCATGGTCAGGGGGCTGTTGGGAACAAGTGTTCCCTTTATAGCTTCTCATTATATTGCCAAGGCTTGGAATAAAACAGTGCCAGAACAGTGTTGTTGGTTTTCTTCCATTCCAGATATCTCATTTGGGTAAACAAAAAAAGAAATTTATAATCACAAAGTATTTTTTGATCTTTCTAATGCATTTCTGAGTGTTGGATGTAGTCACTACTCAAAAAACATGCAGCAATGCTACACACATAATTCCTACTTCAGCCTCAGAGCAAGAAGCAACTTATATTCATGTATAAATAATGTGTATATTTTCTTTTTTTCCGTTGAAATAGCTTTATTTAGATGACTTGTAAAAGTTTTGTATGGAGCTAGTGAAATATTCCAACTGGATAGAACTGAAGTATTCCTCCAGCAAAAGAGTTGTTTTAACTTTAGTTACAGCTCACAGAAGAAATCCTCCTTTCATAGTAAAATAAAACATCCATCATCTTTGACTTTGATATGAGCAGAAGGAATTTTATAAGGTAGTATTCACATTAGGCACCCTGTCACTTTAAAAAAAAATAATTCAAAATGTAACACATTGTCACTGGAACTATCAAACAGTTTGTGAGAAAGGAAGTTCTAAGACTATTTTTGTGCCAACCAATGCATCTACACTGCAATAAGTTTAGCATATGTCTTATAATAGCAAAATTGAATACAAGGGAAAGCTGATTTTTTTCTCCTACTACTCCAGATTTCATCAGATAAAGCAGTCAAATGAATTGGTGCCAGAATAAAAATGTTATCTGTTCATATTATATTGATTAGGTTCAGTGGGCGTTGAAAACAACAAAGAATTATTTGTTCTTTTTCCTTATTATGATAGTACATTTCTTTAAGAGTTTTAATTCAGAACTTAAAACTAAGTTATCTATTGATGACTAAGTTGGGTCATCTACTTCCAAGTTATGATTTTGTGTAACTCATTTTTTGAATTTCCAAACAACAACAAGGGCCATTTTGTTGCTTCTTCAGTTCTCATATGTCTTTAATAGTACTTTATAACAACTTTTTTCTTTCATGTGATTCACAAATGAATGTCCTTGGAGTTGACCAGAGTTTCAGAACAATTGTCTGTTCTGTTCATGAGATAATACTCTGCTGGTGTGACTTGCTTCAGTCCATGCAGAAATTTGTGGGAAAAACCCCATGAAACAAATCCCACATTTTCTAGCAGATGCAAGACTTAGTGTGAACAAATACTTAAATTCAGAGGAGTTTCTGACAGCAGACATGCTGTGCTAAGCAGTAGGATTAGATAAGATTGTGAAACCAAGGTTTCACTTTAGTGTCCAGGTACAGGAACAACAGCAAATCCACCTGATAAATATCATATCAGCTGGTTCAGTAACAGCAATGTCTATGCTTATTCTCTTTGTTTGTTTTTGTATTTGTTATATGTATAAGCAAGCCTATGGAATAAGCCCTAACTGAAATTTTAATACAAATATCCTAATTTGGAGGTACCCCTTGGTACATCCACCTTGTACCTTGGATCAGCAAGGTTAATAAAATGGAACTCCTAGTTCCACAATAATCCAAGTATGCTATGAGCCATGCTATCCCACGTACCCTGTTCTCATTGACCTACAATACTCCTGCTTTTTCCTTTCAAAACATGCCTGCTTGGCAGGCTGTCACATACCTGATACTGAAATATTGTGTGAAGAATATAAAGTTGTTAAAATTCTACTTGAGAATGACTTCGTGATTTACATCACACTTTGAACCCAGCTACAAACAGGTAGAAAGCCAGACAACTTACACTTAGAACTCAGTAGTTTTCAAACCTTTAACTTTGTAGTGCTAGTTTGTTTTCAGGATTGACATGAGCCAGAAAGCTTTAGTCTGAGGGGCAGGTGTGCCATTTCTAGTGGGATGAAGTAAATGCAAGGTCTTAACCTGAAAAAGCATCAGATACTTGACTTGGTTTTCACATAAGTAAGTGATGGGTGTCTTCATCTATTGCAAGGGGAGTCATGGACCTCTGTGAGGTTTTGGGGTTTTTAAGTGAAGGAAAGTCACTATTCCCACTTTTATGCTTGTAAGGGAATCTGCTGTGTCAGTGCCACTTAATTCAGTCACCTTCTGTTAGCATTTTATTGGTGTTCAGTCTACTGCAAATTCAGTTTAGAGCTTTTGTAATCATTGTGTCAAAATCAAGATGGTTTGAAAGATACTGGAATAGATGTCAAATACTTCTATGAAGACTTCTTTGCATTTTAGTACTCCCCACTCCAGCCTATCCTGTCTCTTTTTAGGCTTGTTCCCTAGCACCAATCCCCTCCTCTCTGTACAGGGAATGTATTTATAGCTACACTGGTGACTCATTTTTCTTCAATTACACCTACCCATTTTCCTGCCGTGTTCCTCTTCCTCCGGCTTGATTTCTGTCAGTACCTCCTCCACCTTCAGCCTCATTGATATGCCAAGATAACCAGTCTACTGCATCTAGCAGCTGCCTTAAGTGCTGTTTGCAGATCTTCCCCATTCCAGTGCTTGCTTTGACCAGAGCTTGCCACGACCATTTCACCTCTTGAGCCATCTGGCCATACCATGCATAGCATTTAACCTGGTCTGAGCAAAGACTTCCTAATCTAAATGACAGAATGTGGAACTTAGAGGAGGAAAAGTCCAGCTGAAAGACAAGGCCAGCAAGAGCATCATACTGGAAATAAAAGCTGCCACCCATGTAGAACCTACACAGTGATGTAGTTGGAGGTACAGCAGATCTCTCAATCTGCTGAGTCTCTCATTGTTGGAGAGCTTGACCAGAACTGGGGAACTGTTGGCACTGGGAGCCAGTGTTGGCTCATTCTTTGCCAGACTCTCTCTCAAGCACAGTGATCACAGAACGACAGAGCCAGTGCTTTGAAGGCACAACTCCACACACTCCTGCTTGTGTAGCAATCACATGTTTTCCAGCTTAACTAGGCAAAATGGGTCACTGCTGTATCAGCTGGTGTCTGGAGGGATGAAGAGTAATTGGGAACTAGAAAAAAAATGTTGCTGCTGATGACTGGAAACCTGCCATTTCAGGCTGTGGTAAGGAGCCTAATGTCTGCAATGAAAATAATGTAAAGAGGCAAATCATACCATCTGCTGCTTTTTAATAGTGATGAAAATGTCCTAATTATCAGGAAGTATCTGTTGTACCATGAATGATACATATCTTTTATTTGGCTTTACAGAGAAGGGAGGATTGTGTTTAGAGTAAGAAAACAGTGATAAGCAACAATAAGATTTAGCTCCTTTTCCCCACAACCCTATGAAGCTTTAAAGCTCTGTTCTTTTCTCTTAACTAGGATTTTTGTCTTTCTCCCCACTTTCCCCTACTGTTTACTGGCATGCAGTTCACCAAAGGACACTCCTGAGAGCCAGATTTACAGCATTTGTTTGTGTGCTTTACAAGAATCCTGTCTGTGACACAATATTTATAGCCTGTGCTTCTGTCAAAAGAAGGCAAGACCTCCAATCTTCCTATCAGCAGAGTAATTTAAGGCTAAACTACTTCAGTATCTGTTAATCCTATACAAGAAACCTGGATAAATATGTTTGGTTTATTCTAACATTTTCTTCCACAGATTTCTTCTTTGCATATCATTTGGTCTTTGCCAGTGATGGTGAAGCAATGACTTAAAGTTGGTTGCCAGTCTCTCTATTATACCTTACTACTCTGTTGTACCAAATAAAACTTACATGCTAAGCAATACTAATATCACCTACACCTAGTAAATCTGGGAGTAATTCACACTAAATATATATATGATACTCAAAACCAAAGTACACTTGCTTGTAACACTTGCCTTCACTTATCAAAAGATTCTCCTTGAAAATGTCTTTCAAACTACAGTAATTTCTCTGGCTAGTAGTAATTTTATCTCAAATGATGGGACCTTAGGAGTTCTAGGTTTTCCACAAGTGATGGCACACATCCCAGAGATCTTGCTGATCAAAGCTTATGCAGGAAAGTTCATTTCATGTGACAGCTTGGTGGGAGGGAGCAGGAGGAATAGGTGTCACAGAGCTCAGGGACAAGAGAGCCATCATTTACTTCACAAAGTTTAAAATGCACGAAAGACAGACTTGAAAAAGTGTCCAAATTGAAGAAAATAAAAATAATGTTACTGTCTTCCCCAGACTATTAACAAGATGTCACCCACGTCTTTAAAGCTGACTCTCAGACAGCTCAGAGAGGGAAGTTCCATGAGTTTGCAGGAGGTGCTCCGGATGGAATACAGACTGAGCCAGGCATGCATGGTGAGCAGCAGCTGAGCCTCTTGTCCCTTCCCAGCCACAGGGGGGGAACACTTTACCAGAGATTAAAAAATTTATGTAGACTTCATCAAGAGTTTATAATTTATAGATTTTCAATATCATCTTTGTGTGTCGGTGAGGCTGTCACTTTTTCCTTGTTTCATGTTATTATATGGAATGCAAAGGACACTACATTAATGATGGCCAGGTGGGAGTGTAGAAAACTTCAGTTAAAGAATATGAAAACATTAATATATAGATAGTTTCATATTTGGATTGTAATTTTAAAACTGGTGTTCTTGAACAGGTTTCTATTCAAATTACTTAGCCCTCAGTGCCTCAGTTCCCAGCAGCAGGGTGCAAATAGTTGTTTATCACTGCCTTTCAAGAGTGTTGTCTATGAAAAATTTATCACAGCAAGAGATTTTAGTGCTATTTGTACTAAGTGCTGAGGACTTGGATAGCAGATGAGAAAGTGATCCTTGCAGTGGAACAGAGCTGCTAACTGAATTACCTGAAAAAATGCCTTACAGGGTTTGCCATGGCATCCTTATTATATTAGTTTTGGCACATTTTAAAATAAGGCTTTTATGTGTCCAATTAAATGATTTGTGATAGTCAAAGTAAATACTTAAAGAAGTGAAAATCTGTCTAATCCTGATGTTCTAATGCCTGACTAAAACCAAGATTGTGGCTCCATTACTAATGAAGCATGCTTAGGGATTTAAGTGTTACATTACCCTTCTTTAAAAAAGAATTGGATGTTTACAGGATTCCATTTCACTGCAAAGTGTTCCAAGTCTGCAGAATACATCACAGTTCCTGAAGACTGGCCTTTCTCAAAAGAATTTCTGATACTACACACCTTAGCCCCAATATGTGACCCTCTTTAGAAAAAGATGTGAGGTGAGGTGTTACACAGAGAGAACTTGGTTTGTGGCACAGCTACAGGTCAGCAGACTGATTTTAAGAGATGTGGCTGCATTTAAGCAAGAAGATACAGAGCTCTTTAATAAGTAAAGACAAAGTAGGTCTAGAAAAGAACAGTACAAGTGGGATTTAACTGAATCTGGAGAACTTGCATTTCAAGCAGAAAGGGATAGGGAAAGATGGGATCAATAGAACCTGTCATGTTACAGCTTTCTTTTTTTATAATCTTTCAGAAGGGCCATGACTTCTACGAAGGGGTTCGAGCAGGTAAGTTCCCACACCAGAAACACTCCTCAAGCTGATAGCACACACATTCACAATTGTGGTGCTTCTTTGGAAACCACTACAAGTGCATGCAGCAACAGCCCAGAAAAACTTCCCAGCTTAGGTTTTGCTTATTGGACTTCTTCTGTGTGGCCAAAATTTGTTATTGTTCCAAAGCACAAGAGCCATATTGTTTCCTTTGTGCAATCTCAGTTCCCTAACATTGTTTATCCACCTGGTTGCACCATTTCTTTCACATTTAACACTGACAGTAGTGAGTAGCTGCATGCATCACTTGTGTCCAGGTTTAGCATTGCCACAGAGCTGGCTCAGCCAGCTACACAATGCTTTGAGACTCAAAATCAAAAACAACTGTTTGTATAGAAAACTGTTAGAACAAAGACTTACTTTCCCTCCTGTCCAGAATATCTCTGAATGGAAGTGTCTTACTACTAAACAACTATATACATAACATAAACTAATTCAACATGTTGAGGCATTGGTCAAGAGAGGTAGAGGTAAAAGCAGAGCAGTGGCTCAGCAAATTCATCCAGGGGACAGACTTGAAGCCTGTCCTTGATCCTACTGCTGATTCACTGTGCAGGTTTTCAAACCCAAAGTCACATCTGTTGGGAGCTGTAGCAATTATTTATGTACTGTTCATCACGAGATGAAATAAAGCACAGGCTTTTTCCAAGGAGCTTACAGTACAAGGCATTTGGATGGATAACTTTTGGTTGGACTTTTAATTCACACAGTTACATACTCAAGTATTATCACCTCCTCCTCATTGTTTTATATCTGTCTTTATAAAGCAGCTTGAATTCCACTCGAGGAATGGATATTAGTTGGAGTGGCTGCTATTAGTAACACTGTACTAAAGATAGCCTGGGGTGAGAGATGCAAAATTTATTCATACAGCACGGGGAAAGTTTCTGACTTTAATTAATTAGTCTTTAGCACTTATTAGCAGACACTCCTTTGAAGAATTTACCACACATGTTGAGAAATGGTTTTCATTATGTTGGTAATGGGGACAAGGGTACCCTAAAAATACTGTTCCTGGGATATATTCTGCATCAGCAGATAAGCTGCTGAAATGTAGTTATTCAGGAAGTGACAAACTCCAAGTTTGAGAGTCAGAGGAGCACCAACTGAATTTCTCCTTGCAAGGCACAAGGTCATGAAACCATCTGGGACTGCAGTACAGTACAAAGGCAAATCCCTTGTCAGTATGGCCAGGAAATGCACAAAGTGCTTGTAAAGAGAGAGGCTGCAAGAACAGCAGTTGGGAAACTTCTCTTTTCCACAGGATGATGTAGCAAAAGTTTAACTATATCAGGAGAAGGAAAACAACAAACCCACCAAAGATCTAACTGCACCGAGGGGATTGCTCATAATGATAATTTGTTCCTGAAGCACTTTTGTTCTCTGCTTACTGCATAGATCTTGTTCTCAGATTTTCACTCTTAGCATTGTTTCTCTTGTTGCAGAGGAGTGTAGAATCTGACTCAAGATCACTTTTTTAGTTTGGTCTAATTTCATAAAAATCATTATCCATCAATGTGCTGAGCATCCTTTTTAACAGTAAGGGAGATTATTAAGTACCTCACAGGCCCAACCGTTGTGAATAAAATTGATAAAAGTGTTTCTCTTTCCTAAAGCCGTATATTACAAGCATTTAAGAGCCAGTTCTTGACCCTCTGTACCACAAAAAGATCTACCATCAACAGAAGTTGAGTTACAACAATCAGATTTTAGTTTAAGAATGTTTCTCAGCAGCCAATGGCCACAGGGCAGGTTTTACTAATACCTTTCATCTGCTTCAAGCCATAATTTTAAAAGGCTTTCTAGGGAGTAGTTTTAAAGCTTTTTAAACCTGCTTTGACCTGAGGTCAAAATTTCTTTTTTATTTTTAGCCAGTTTTCTTTCAACCTGAAAATAAGCTGTGGCAGTCTTCCCTGTTTATGATTCTTGTGATTGGAGTGATTAAAGAAAAGCCAAAACTCTTAAAAACTATAAAACACATGGATCATATTTCATCAGCATTTACCTATAAAATGGTAATTGTGGACTTGGAACACATTAGGTATCAATTTTTCACCTTGATTAATCGAACAATATGTCAACTAAGAAATGCATAGGTCTGGGTAGTTGCCAAGAATTGTTTTTCAAATCTTACTGCCTAAGAAAAGTGGTCACTTTTGGAGTCAAGTGCTCAAACACATCCAGCTAGGATACAATCTCGGCAGCAGATCTCAGGGACAAATATCTGTTAATTCACCCTCCTAACTCTTTGTGCAGGAATGTGCACTGGAAATGGAGCTGTAAAGGTCTTCCACATCTTGCTGATGCTGCAAAGATGATATTTGTGTGCAGCTCCTGCCACCTCCCCTGCAGGGCTGGCAGATGTGAGCTGTACCCTGGGCACCCCAGGGCCCTGCACGAGCGGAGAGATTTTATGGCAGGGCCTTGGAAAGAGCAGAGTTTAGACTGTGCTGGAGGAAGCTCAGCAACAGAACACTACCTGAAGTCTGGTAAAGTCACTGCTGCTGAACAGAGGGGTTTGGGATTTTGATTAAAAAAGGTGAATCACAAAAACAAATCCTTAACACAATGTCTGCACTCAGTTACTTTTATCATAATGAATTCTCTTAGCCTACCTTAGAAGTCTTCAGAATTTCTGTTTTCTTAATGATTGATCTCAGGCTGGAGAGATACAAAATGTAAAGAAGTCAGCGCAGAAAGGGAATATTTTCATGGTTCTACTAGAAAACAAATATTTTGACTCATACAAGATTAAAGACTCCACTAGAGAGACCATTATGAGCGTTGAGTTATTCCTCCAGAATAAAACTGGCCACAGATCCAAACAGAAAGATGAACTTGAACAGACAGCAGTACCCTGGAGTGCAGAACTGGCAGCACTTACTGCAGCATGGCAGAGGGGAAGCTGTACTAACAAACACATGGACACTTTTTCCTCTTTAATTTAAACCATCTCAAGTCAGTGTTGACTCTTATGGATAACAGTTAGACTGCGAACTTCAACTAAAATTGAACAAAATCTGTAGATAATTTTTATTCAGATGGAATGAATATAGTTGATTTGGGATAATTACAACTTTTCACCCAAGCCAATCAGTGGTTTCACTGTGTTCAGAAATACCCTGCAAGATCACAGTTTTTCAGTGAGTTACCCAATTGAACATCCCAGTAAAAGCACTCTTTTACAGGAATTTTCTTCTAAAGAATTGTCCTCATGGATTCTGTTTCCAGTGGAATTGCAGTTTCCCATATAATGGGTTACCTTTTACAATTAATTTGTTTTTAAGGAGTCCTTAGTTCTCTGTTTACAAGTAAATAATGGCAGGGCTCTGATCTGCCTTTCTCTGTGGGGATGTATGCCTGAGTACCTTCAGCTACAGAAATATTAATTAGTGCAATTGTCACTTGAATTGTGTGTATGTTCTAGCCATTTTCAACCATTTGTTAAAGACAGAAAAGTTAAAGAGAAGTTTTCAGGTCACATTGTTTTTACAAGTTTGTGGGCAGACCATAAGGCCTGTTGATAAGCACAGTCTCTAGGTAGGTATTCTTTTAACTGAACACAACATTCCACCCCCTTACACATTCCTCATCTTGGATATTTCTAGTTCACTCAGTAAGAACAAACTCACTTTAGAAAAACATGACAACTTACCCAAAAATAGTTGCTATTCTTGGAAACATCTGGTCTCTGTGAGTGTCATAGTTCACCTGCCTTTAGAACCATCCTCCTCTAAACTCTTTATCAGAAAATAAACAAATAAAAGCCATTTTCAGGGGCAAAATATGAAATGTGCTCCCTCTTCCTGCCCATCCTCTCTAATGTGCTGTGGGCTGTGCTGGCCAGGAGCCTCCCCCAGGCCACAGGTGCATCTCCAAATCTCCAAATGATCTCACTCATCTGAAGGGAATGAGGCTTGTGAGGGTTGTTGGCAACCAGTGCATCCTTGGGAGCCACAGTTCTTACAGCTGTTCTTCTTTAAGTGATAAAAATGTCACATTTTCAGTAGCACCTTTATGAGTTTCTTTAAGCCTGAAAGGTACTTGGAAGGATGCTCTGGAATTCCATTAATACTGGTAATTTTTACACACAAATTAGCTCCCTCTTGTTTTACTGTTTGCTGATGCAGCCATTGCTGACATGCCTTCAACATTCCTGTGACATAGGGAATGTTCTTTGGGAATTGGCATTTTCTTGTTAGCCTTTTACATGTGATTCACTCAGTGATGGTTTTTATCTCCAGTGCTGTATTTCCCAGGCTGCAGCATAAAGTCTGTGTACTGAGGTGATACAGATTGTCACAGTTAAATGTACCCAGGCCTCAGCAGCTGTCAGTATTTACAAATAAACACCCTCAGTTCCCACAAAGACACCCTGCTTTACTCTCACCTCGTGAGTTATTTCATTATTAATGTGATGTGTTTAAATTAGCTTTAGGCACTTAGCACCACTGAGTCATCTCCTGTGCTCTCCCCAGAGTCAGATTTTGCGCAGAGGTGTGAAAGCCTTGTCCAAAAGCAGCACTGTGAAGTGAAGCCATTTGCAGGCTCCCATGAAGTGCAAGTCAGCCACGAGTGGAGAGGTCTGACTAAACCACTTATTCCAGGGCTGGTCCTTCAAATCTTGGGCTGCTCTGAAGGGATTCACTGTTCCTTGTGACAGGGACATCTCTGGGCAGGTCACAACTCAGGAACTTGGATTAGAGTAGAAAGATCCGTGTTACAGGAACTGCCTTCTCCAGAGCACACAGATTTGTCTCCCCCTTGGAATCACTGCAGTGATCTGTCCTGATGCAATCTGAAGTCATTTTAATGGGAGGAAGTTGATGAATAACTTTGGTGTTTCTCTGTTCACCTGGCAGTGCTGATTGACAAGGACCAGTCCCCCAAATGGAAGCCAGCTGCTCTAGAAGAAGTCAGCGATGAATTTGTGGACAATTGTTTTAAACCACTGGGAAATGATGATCTCAAGCTGTAAAGAACAAACCTGTTGGCATCTTACCTATGTGCTTAGTTCTGTGATACCAAAATTAACTGCAGTGTGATCAATTTGGACAAAACTTTTTTAGCTAGTTGAGATTCTACTTTTCTTACAAGTAGACTTGTAGACTTACAAGTCTACAAGTAGACTTACAAGTCTACTTTTCTTTCTTTTTTTTTTTTTTACTCTTTTTTTTTTTTGCATTCAGGAACATTCTCTGTAATGAGAAAATAATTGTATCTCTGGTTAATAATGGGAAAAAACGCTTCAAGTCAAATTGTTATTTTTACTGCTTTACACAGTGATTAACATTTAATTTTTTGCATCAACTCTTAGTTTAGGAGGAGCCCTTGGGCAGAAGAGCACAGTTTAAGGGGTGACCTAATAAGCAAAAAGTAAAGAGACTTTTTGTGTTCTTTGCTTTGTCACTGATCTGGTAAATTGGGATTGTGCCACAGATTATTCTGTGTACAATGAAAATAAAATATGGTTAAACCTTTAATGCAGTCAGAGCTACAAAGGAAAATGCAAGACAGAATCCATGGTGTTAAATATCCTTTTAAATAAAAGCTCAGACTGATATATTATTAGTCTGAGAACAAGAAATTGTTCTATTGATTAAACACTTGTAATTTTTCAGCCTTGCTGTGTGATGTAAACATTGTTTCAAATGTGATAATCTTGCCAGAGCCTGAAGCACACTTCTCTTTGCTTGCATAGCCCACTTTTTAAAATGTCATTATGTCTGATTCAACTGCATAATCAGTATTTCACCATTTCAGAAAATTGCTGGCTTTTCTTGGTCTTACAGTGGTGAAGAAAGAAGTGCCTCAGACCTTGCTGTGAACACCAAGCAGCAATTTCCAGTGCATTCAGGGTGGTGGGTTCTGATGCTGATAAGACATGAAGTCACACAACAGAACCAGAACCCCTTGGTCCAAGTATCTGTGGGAGGGAAATCATTTTTTCTATTGTATGCAGACAGCTACTAATCTTTCTTCAACATTACACCTTCTTTTTTCTGCTTCATCAGAGCACATAGTGTTTCTTTCTGCTTGCTTCTACACCTACAGGCAGGTCACAAGTACAAATTTTGGCTTCTCTGAATAAGAAAGAAAGAAAACTTCTGTTCAGTGTCAGCAGTGAGGAATGAAAAAGTCAGAGCTGCAGCAGAACCATTGTGGAGTTTTCAACATTGGGCAGTTCCTATGACCAACAGCAATGGTCAGCAATGGCTTAAGGCTCCTTCCTTCTAGGAGCTGGTGCCTGGAAAAAATGTCCAGGAAATTCAGGCATCAAAGTGAACTTCCAAGAGTGACTTTCAAAAAAATCAGAGGTGAGCAAATGGAGAGCTAAATCAAGAAAAAATGGCACCTTGCTTTGGCACTAGAGTCTTGTAAGATAAAATTATTAAAATTTCAGCTGTGAGTTTATGTAACCTTGGACATACTTGTTATGGGACTGTCCTTGAGTTTAGTTCCAAAAGTAATTGAGATTTCATTAAAACCTCTAGATAAGTCTGAAAGTGTCACAAGACTTTCTACCTCAAGCTGGTCCCATAAGAAGTGCTCCCCGTGTATTATTTAAAAATTTTATATGTTTTACATTCATAAACAATTGCTATTTTAAATTTATTTTTTAAAGATTGGTTATCTTAATAATTCCACTATTTTTGTATAAAAGGAGCAATATTCAGCCAACTATATTAAATGAAAACCACAGTAATTCCCAGAGAGCAGGGATGATGCCTCCTCTCATTGTAAAAGAAAGAACATACTTTTGAGTTAATAAACTTTGACTTGCATGTTCAGATGCTTCCAGAATTCATGTGAACAGGAATTATCCCAAGCTCAAGGTAAAGAGATCCTGTCCAATCTTTGCAATCTTGTGGGTTTTTTTCAAATAAAAGGCATACAAGCAGATGGTAAGTTGAATTTTATTTGGTCCACAAGAAAATATTTTCCACAAAAAAATATTGTAAAAATATATTGTAGTGTGTTTTATTTGGGAATACTGATGTGCCTTAGTCCAGAAACGTCAACTGTACAAAGTTGTGCTGCAGTTAATGTATTTTGAACCATTATTAGAATATCAAGTCATTCACATCATACCCACTCAGATTAATCTTGTTTCCTGGAGAAAATATAAAGCAAATGTATTTTTAACTCCTAAATAGAAGTAAACAGTTTTGCAGAGTATGCCAGTCCCAAACTGGAGTGCCTTTATTACACAAAATGAAATCAAAAAATCAAAGGTAACTTAGCTGGAAACCCACTGTCAGTGGCTCTAAAACTCTAGCACAGCTTAGCATAAATTTATTTTGGTGAAGAAGTCTTTATTTTTACAATGTATTAGTATTGTGCCTATTAAATGTACATACAGCAGAGCTCTAGGGAATTTCCTCCCTCCACCTCTTACGAGACTGCAGCACTGAACAGATTTATTTTCTATTAAGGGTAAGTGCATTATTTATAAGGACAGCATCCTGTAAAAGAGATGATTTTCCTGGTGAGATGCTGTCTCCCTGTTGTTTGCTTTCCATTTGCTGTGTGCCTTCCCTGAAGTGCCAGTGTCATGGAAAGCATCCTAAAGCAGCTGGAATTGCACTCGGGCCACTCTGGAGCTGCTGGAATCTTCAGGCACCAGCGAGGGCTGAGGTTGTGTTTAATTTTAATTACTGTTCACATTCTCAAGCCACACTTGTGTTAGAAAGGTTGGCCCTTTTTTTCTTTTTTGTAATAAAGCTTTATTTTAGCTATAATAAGAATATTAATATTTTTTAATACTGAGGTTAAGCAATATCCAATTGATATGTACTCACTTGATTAGTGTTTTGGCTTTGCTTTCTAACTCCCACTAATATATGGAGGTATTTTAGAGTAAACAGTATGATCAAATATGTGCTGTAGAATTTGAGGGAGTGTCACTTATCAGGAGAATTTAAGTGAACCATAAAACCTTAGTCCCACTTCGCAAATGGCTTTGAAGACAACTACGTAACTTCAAAGAGGACGACATTACAGCATAAGCTGATTTTGTTCCCTTTTCCAGCAAAAGCCTGAGAACAGCCTTAATAGCAGGTCACTGGGAATCCAGTCTGGTCACTGGGATTTAATGGCAGCCTTGTGCTGTGTCACAGAGAAGCATTTTTCACCCTCCATTCTTGATAAAACCACTTCCCATTATATGTGAATTTCAAATACCTACGTTTGTATCACAACATTTGCAAAACAGCTCAAATCATAGACTGTCTTTCTACAGCATTTGACATGGTCCTCTTTCTGCTTGCTTCCCATTGCTTGAAAAATCATGCTTTGGATCATTTACTAGAACTATGTGTACCTTGTAAAAATAGTAACAGCTTTAGCCAGTATGGAAAGCATTTCTCTATAAAATGAAAACAAAATGGAAAACATTTTGATCTAGGAAAAAGAACTATGTCTTTTAAACTGGGCATCACAGAGAAAGGAACAAACAACTGGTAAAAGCCAAGCTGTTAGAAGGCCATCACTTTGTAAAAAACATCAGCAACACTGTCCCTTTGGGATGAATGCAACAATCCATCGGTGTCCTGATGTGTGTGTGGTGCAGTGTGAGTGCAGTGAGCCCTGGGCAAGCAGGAGCTGTGTGGGGATGCACTGGGGAGCAGTGCAGCCCCTGAGCTTTGGGCCTAAGGCTTGGTCCCCAGCTCTGCACTCAGGGCACTGCCCAGGGCTGGAGCTCCTGTGGCTTCTGCTGGCACTGCCATGGACAGGTTTTCCCGTGGGGAAGCAGCAGCCTGCAGAAGCTGAAGGAAGGTGTCCTATCCCAAGGGTGGTGCTACAGAGTGGAATTGCCGTGTAACGCAGGCAGAGCTGCCGCGAAGCAAACTGTCCTAAAGCACTGCCACGCCTCTGAAGGTTCCTTTCACTGGTTACCAGCAGTAGTGTTTGCACATCTCTCTGGGCTACAGTAAAACAACAAACCAAATCCTTCCAAACCGGCACCCTAACACAAAAAATCCCCAAACAAAACCAAAAAACCAAACAGCTTTGGTCTGAACACAGCACCAGATGTCATTAACCTATCTTACTGCAGGGTTTTAGAGACAAGCTCTCAAGCATTTACAGAAGCATCTGTTAATGATAATGCACCGCTTATTGACACTGGCACGTTTCTCACTGGTTCACTTCAATGGAAGGTGAAGAGCATCATCATCCAAATGGCTCCCTGAATACTACTGGGGTTTGCAAAGCGCCTCCCATCACCTTCATCATTTTGTGATTTTACAGATTTGGTTAGGTCACAGAATCAAAAGTAAAATTTATGATAGCAGTAACCTTTGCTACATGCACACCTTGATTTCACTTTAGCGAAACGCAGACAAATCACCAAGCACAGAGAGTTCATCTCACCTACAGACAGACCACTGATCTTTTATGCAGAACACAGAAATAATCCACGTTTTATCCTCTGTGGCAGTGCTTGCAGAGGTGCAGGGCAGCCACAGTCTTCTCATCCTCCTTTTAACGCTGATTTCTGCTCACACCCAACACGTACAAAGACAGAGTACACTCAACACATGGCTGACAAGGAATGACACTTGATGGACAGGTTCTACTGCGATCCAAGTGGTTTGTTAGCAATCTTGGCTGAAAGGCAGATTTCTCAGGCTCTCCCTGCAGACACCTCCCCAGGGCGGTGCCCAGGGGACAGCAGGGGCTGTGCTGGCAGGAGGCTCAGGGCACGTCGCTCTCGATGAAGGGGATGTCGCTGTACTTGCTCTCGGTCACC